GATGCGCGAGAGATGGGACATGTGCTGGTCTAAGTCTTTTAGATTTTGGGAGTCGATGGTTTGGCTGTCCTTCACACGTCACTACGTTTTGAGGCCTGACACAGTACTGATTAATGATACTAACGATATAGCTATGGCATAACACCAAGCCTCGCGAACATGCAATGTGATCGTACCGCATATCACGATTTCAATGCATATAACGTGGCTGAAACTCATTCGCAACTTGCAATCATGGCGAGGAGCATACCATCGTACATGTCCCAGATACTGAAAAGGCTTGTAGTGGATGAGCCAGCGTCATTTTGCTTTAATCTATCTGTCGCTGTTTGGGACGCGTTCACTGAAGTCCCGTTTGAGCGTGATGGGGCTTCGACAATTTTCTCTTTCATGAACCTACCATTGGTACAAGCTCATACAACGGCCGTGGCGTTCTACCATGTGTACATGGTCTGAATCACAAAGAATCCCAGGTAGAAGTTTACCATAGGTACTTTGACCACTAAGCATAGGTTCTGTCGAGGCTTTTAACGTCAGATCAAGTTTTATACATCGAGATTGACTCGACTGGAAGCAATCGATGCAGGACTGCCCCGAAACAATGAAAGGTGTCAACTTGGGCCCCATACGCCAAAGCTCCAAGCGGTATTACCCTGGATGATAGTTCTGATATGATTGGACCCAGCAATGACCTTGCTTTCTGAAATGCTACCTAGGTTTGACACGGTATGCAAGTTCCGAGTTCCGGTCTAGATGCCTTCGATTGTGGCGACACAACGCCCACAGCGCAATTCGATGCTTACCACTATTCTGACCCCCGTGGAAGGAGTGGAAGGGACGTCACAGATTCGGGTCAAACTCGACTATGCGTGGGTACACGTGGACCTCAGCCACGCAATGGGGCGCAAAACCGGATTCTACTAACCTTGAAACGTCCAAGGCTTCTGGAAACGACGATCTGTCCAACACGCAGTCTGACCAGAGCCTACCCCTGGCGATTTGAATCTCTGATACAAACCAACTCTATACTGCTTGTGGCAGCTGTGAGGCAGCCTATCGCACGGGAAGATTATGAGTTGGCCAACGTCAGCGCGACGGTTGCCGGTGACGTCGGAATTCTAGCAATATGAGACAGCGTCCCGGCTGCACCACATGGGTGATAATAATGCCCACGGGGCAGAAATATTGTCGAATTTGTTTCAGCTCAACGTCATTACTCGCACATACATGGCATTCTCGGACGGTTGGTGGGGTTTTGCGCATTTCGTGATGGAGGTTGAAAATTTGGCATGCGAACTTGGGTCGCTTCAGGAGTGCCAGGCCAGTACTATGACACGGCAAGTTTCACCATGCAGGTACCCAAAAGCCCACGATAGGCAGGACAGGGTCGAAATGTGGGAGCTTAGTCTGGATCGCGATGCAGAAGGAGGAGGCACTTTCAGGTTCGTGCCGGTGACGTTGTGTGGCTGATCTCCGTCGCTCACGGCCGCGCTAGTTCCTCAGGGATGGACTTCGCGCCAATCACAGGACGCACTCCTTTCACCCTGGCCATTTCAGCAGGGTTGCAACAATGCTCCCTGTCACGCAAAGCCGCCCTAGCACACGGACTGTGTACGGATTCAGCCGCTCTGTACTCCGCTGTGACCTTCCAGCTTCACGTCATGGGCTCGTACTCCTTTAAGGTTCCATCAAAGTCTCGAAAGTTCAGGACTTTTTCGTTCTCTCCGTTTTCAGCAAACTATCAACATCTATTATCGCCTTGCAGTTGAAGTATTCGTACATCATAGTCACGGTCTCAAATCACGCCATTGCAACCGTTCGATCCATCTTCTACCATACACGCAAGCTCAGCACTTCTTCTCTAGAGTGGTACCGATCAGTTCAGAACACTAAATATCTTCGCATCACATACTATTTATCGAAACTCTACTCCGTGGACACCGAAGTTCCCGTCTACTCAACGCAGAAAATCACAACTGGCCCACCGTTCCCACACCTCACATCATGGCTCCAATGTCCAGACCAAACCTGTGTAGAGTGAGTACAACCTCAGGCTTCTTACGTCCCTGAATGTATTAACTCCGAGTGTAGAACGAATCCATGCAGAAGTACATGTTACTCTCAGCTCAGAAAGAGGCTTTGCAACGCCGTATGGCTTTAGAGATACCTTTTGCTGCACCCATGGCCGCCGAATCACCAGAATTCCAATCTCTCTCGTCTTCGCCTACCTGGTCGCCAAAGTATGCGTCACCATACCCCACTGTTACGGACCCCGTCCCTACTCGATCCTCCATGAGCCCTCGCGGCAGCATCGACGACATGCACACCACAGAAACCGCAAAATTGTCTGAGCTCAACCATCAGATTGTTGCAACACTCACTGAGCTTCTCAACACTGAGTCGGTACGCTCAGACGAGAAGCATCATCGTTGGATACAGGAGCGTCTGATGGAACTGGAACATCAGATTCGCCGAGACAGACGCCGACACTCGTCGAATGCTGAGCGCAATTTTGCCTCTTCCATCGCACAACACATTGATATTGGTCTCAACACTTCGAAAACCTGGGCTTGAGTAATCCAGCCCTGACTCTCTCTACATCAACTGCATTCTGCTATGACATTCCTTGCAGGTTGATTTCAATCTTCTGTTCGGCGCTGAGCTGTTAATGGCGTATTGGTGTTCTGAAATGAAGTGCTCAAATCAGAAAAAGATACCCGATGCTGTGCATCAATATCAAGCGCAAGGCGTGCGCTGGAACTGCCAGGTTCCGTTGTTTGTACGATACAAAGATACTATGATTACCATTGTCCATGAACAGTTTCTTCACCTTGCACACATCCCCACCACTTCGCAATGTGCCTTGTGATTTACAGCAATAGGGGCAATATGAGGCTGACGACTACATGATTCACCGACAAGGGTAAGACATGACTCCAAGAAGCCCAGAGATGTCCTCGCGGAGTCTTATCAGCAACCACTTGCCGGTTTCACACCTGGAAATGTGGCATGTACGCATTATGGTGCACACTGAATTTACTGTGACCTCCATCTATTTACGCTTGAACAGGGGGCCCACACCAGCTCCACCCATCCACCACATCGAGCCTATTATCATAACCCTGCCAAACCTCACCTCACTATCATCTCTCATCCCATGAGCCGACCACGCCACCAAAAGCTCCACATCACAAAACGTTGTTGGTGAGAAAACACCTAGACTGAAAACTTGGAACTCCATCAATCGTCGATGTCTTCCCACTTCAAATCATGCTACTTCCAACGACTGACGTCATAACCCCATCCAGCCCGTCCATCACAACCACTCCCCAAACCTCTCATAACCAACAAGCATCCTCAACAAAAACAAATTCAACGTCCCGACAAGTCTGCACACATCGAGCCCTGTCGCTTTGATCGGCTCAAAGAAATATCGCTTAATGTTGCTGTTTTCTTATGAATGTGGCCGAATGCGGTGCGCGATCGACGCACAACCCCTCACCCCCTCCGCCGCGAACATCGAAGTGCCCCGCACTGTTGAATAGGTCGGAAGAGCTAGGATTCCGCTAACTGAAGGCTGATGTAAGATATATGGCGGATATACAGGGCGCAAGTTCTAGATTGTAGATATGTTGGTGGTGTGACGGAGCGTCGAGACTATGGATGGTTGGGGTGATCACTACATCCTGCACGATCGAAGGAAAATACCGCTATACACACCGACGTGCAGATGCAATGTGGGGAAGCTTGTAAAACACTGTTTGTTGAGAACGTCGCCAGCTGTTCTTGGGGTTTGACTTGTAGGTGACGAATCATCCCGTTCGTTACGCCAAAAAGACGCTCATGGCCTGCTTGAGCAGACCGAGTCCAGCATGCCACAGCTAAGATTTCGACTATGCTTTGTGGCGTAAGGTGTGGCTGAGATTAGATTATACTATCAGCTAGCAGTCTTGCTACGCGGCCTCAGTTGAGATAAGTGACCTTTGGGAGGGGAGCGATCCAGTGCTGTGGTGCTGGAATTCACTATCACTCTGCAAGCATGGGCCTCACTATCGCTTACGTGTCCTACATGTATACATAGCCTTTCTACTTGACCTGTTGCAATGGAGAAGATGACACTTCAAATTGATGTTATCGAACCTTGCGCAGTCGTAGTTGAGAAGCTTGAATGAAGCAGACAACTTTCCCAGATATTACCCTGAAAAGTGTCTCCTGATCGTCCGTAAGACTTGCCTGAACTTGAATTCACTGAGACTGAACATGGTGACCAGCTCATATTTCTTGTCGAAGGTTAGATATCCTTATCCATAAACGGTGCTTGATCAGTGGTAGTAACAGATATCAATTTTTGATTGCATAGGCTTTCGCTCATCTGTGTTGCACGCGAAAACTACGTGTGCTTGAGTATTAGATATCATATGTATAGAGAAATAGCAATGCATCCATACCATACTGATACTCAGGAAGTACCGAGGGTAATGAAATTAAGTCAGTATCGCTAGAGACCGGCGTGCTTCCCAATCTATCAACATTCCGATAACTCCAACCAGTCTCAGATTCGTATTGTCTTGAATAGCATAGGCCAAGGCGTCAAGCCCAATGGAAGGACCCTTATTGAGCTAGCCAAGCCTCAGATCATGCAAGAAGCATCAAAGCCTGGGGCGAGCTGTTGTATTTCCACTAGAGATATTGGCAACACGTTCAAGTACCATGGTCTGCATCACACAGTCTCCAAGTGAACACTTGACACTGATTAATTCTGCCGCGACATTGATATTACTGTCCCTTATTTCCTGGTACACACATGGCAAAGTGTTTTGTTAGTGTCGGTGTCCAAAACGAAATTGCAAGATTGCCCCACTGGTACGACTCAGTCCATCAGACCCACTCAGATATCGAAACACACGAACAATGATACTACATACCTGCCGCAGCAAACAAGCCATGCCTTTGAGGATAGGGGTGTTATATCTCGTCACGTGGTCATTAATCACCCACACGCCTGCTTAGCTCAATCGGTAGAGCGTGAGACTCTTAGTGACTGTCCTTTGATACTAGCAATGTCAAATCTCCAGGCTGCGGATTCGGTAAATCTGCACCAGGCCTTCGTTCGAGTACTATGTCTAACGTATCCCAGACCCCCGCATCGGGCTTCAACTCTTCTTCTCTTTGTCATTTTATTTTCTTTCTTTCTTGAGGTCACGATTAGAGTGGGGTGGGGCCGGTGGAATTCAAACATCCCCGTCACAAGCGAGGCTCCGCTACCATAGGTATTACTGCGAGGAGCCTCTTGTACACTCGCGAAGTTTGAAAATCCCAGACAGATTAGTGCCTCCTCAGTTTGCTAGAATGTTGTTAAGTACGATTGCAAAATGCTTATACCGTACTTAACCTGCTGTAAACTGGCAAGATAGTTTGATAAATTGGTATGGTATCTCAAACAAAATGTATCTTACGCAGACTCTAGGTCACGTGCATATAGCTGACGGACATTCGGGTACTCGAGTGTACGATAGGGAACATGACAGCTAGCGTGATCCGAAATGAACTGAATTTCAACTCTAGAAACTGTAGAGCTTTTGTTTGTCACCTGTGGCGCTATTATTGGCGATTCTATCGCCAATAATAACTCCACTCATGTACCATCGCTTTGATCACATTCAGTGCCCACTGACCAGAGAAGAAGTAACCCTTCACTGCTAGCAGTCACCTGAACAGGCAGACATGGTGTGCATGGATTGTTGGTCTACTTTTGTATTATGTGCCCTCAGCTTCTGTCTAATTAATGCGCCCCGTATACAGCATCGTTATGCCTGGTATCTACAAGCACGACACCACTTGTATGCGCCCATCACATTGTCTAGCGCCAATGTGATCCACATACACACTCCAATCCCGTTGAACATTGATACCATTATTTGGCGTCGACCCTGGCGTATGGTTCGTACTGTCATCACTCGATCGCGCCATCGCAACCTCCGTCTGATTCTTTCCGTATCCACCCCCCAGTGTTTTCAACTCTTCTTCGCTATCTGGCTTTGTAACTCCACCGACGGTCGAAAACAAACCACCAGTCGATACCTTCTTGCGCGGTTGCAATTCGTAGGTGCCGCCGAACCTACGAGAAGGGTTTCCACTACTGGGTCCGGGCGATTTGTTGTCTGAGATGCGGGATCCGCGGGATCCATCAAAGGAGAAGAGCCTGTTGAGACCGATGGCGGCGAAAGAAGGTTTAAGACTGGGTAAGCAGGCGCAGACCAGACCGATATTGATCTCGACAGTTGACCAAACGATGATTTCGCGGAAATTGTATGTTACGTCGCCCGAATTTGGCGATTGGGATGCGGAGGAAAATAATAAGACGAACTAGAGACACCACGGCGATGAAAGTGCCAAAAATGAACATGCCCGCGAGGATGACCGCTGCGCGAGAGGAGCATGGAGACGCCAAACGTATGGTCGTGGCATTAGTACTACGACAAGATCGATAACGACATTAGGCACTGATCCGCCCAAGTAAATTGATTGAATCTCAATACACTTCGCGTTAGTGATGGTGATGTCCCATGCCGCTTTGACAAATACGCAGTTGAGAATGACACATAGCAACTTGTCGCTCAATATCAGTGGAGGTCTTGACGATACAGTGTAGATGAACACGTACGATCGCAAGGAACCACGCTATGCACATGCCAGACACGATCCAGATGGCTATTCTTGCATTGACGGCAAACAACCGCCAGTAGAAAGCAAGGACAGCGAGTTTAATGTTTGCAATAGCACACGTGTATAAGATCTGGGCAATCTAAATATTCTCCAAGAAGCCAACAAGCATCATGGGATCTGGGAGATCGGCGACATGTCGCCCAAGCATATCTCTCATGCCTATTGCCAAATTAGCAAGTGTGCTACGGCCGCAACTACTAATCCACATAGAATGGGAATTCTACCTATCATACACGTCCAAAAGAAGGCATTGGCCACGAGTAGAGAGAGGATAGTGAGGTAATTATCTAGCCCAATATTTGACCAGCCACCTGCTCTCCTTCTACACCAGAGTTTGAGGGGGACGAGTATCATGACAAGCGCATAAGTAAATAATCAACACAATCGAGGCAAAGGAGACAGGCACCTCTGTAGATAATTAGTACGTGCGCCATGGCTTACCCCCTCACCCAAACATGATGTCTGAGCGGAAATCGGCACGACTTGATTCGAAAGAAACATATGCCTGAATGGTGGGTTGACACAGGATGATGGAATCTGTTGCCACTTACACGCTTTCTTCGGGACTGGCTACAGGAGCCATCACAACAGTCTGGCTTTCACAAATGCGGGTTCATTTTATCGAACGTAGGGGAAAACCAGATTAATAAAAAAAAACCCGGGGAAACATGGAATGAGTAGCTATGGCCTCGCTCGACCCTTGACTGTCCAGACTAACCAAGTGATGGACAGGAGCTACTCCAAGCTTTCCCATTGCTGTATCGCCATGAATTCGTATTGCTAGGATCCATAACAACCTTTATTTGACAACGAAGTTGGCCAAGCCAATAATAGGAGGGTAGAACTGTAACTTTCGCAGTTGGAACGGCTCGCGATGCACGTGCATTAGGCACAACATGCAGCTCAGCCGCTTCCACGGCTTGTCGCCTACCAACGGCGTTCAAACAAGACAGACACGTGCCATTTTTGAAGATCGTGCCCTTGCTCGTCACAGCAACTTGCTTGCCTGAATGAGCCAAGCGAAACTAAGATGACCATGGCCTGGGGATTATATAAACCCGTTGAAAAGGCGGTATGGCTCGCGTCGGAGTATTCCTCGATTAGGAGTTGAGAACGTCTCTGAGAAAGTCAATGCATTGCTGATCAGAGCGCTCGATGTAAGTCCCATTGGTAGTTGTTAAGAAGTTCCATAATAGACTTTCACGACGGTGCGGCACGGTGCGGGTAAGCCCGTTTCCGCAAGTGAGATGTGGGTGGTACAACTGACCTCCATATTTCCATCTCTAGCCCATTACTTCAGTTTGCGAATCTTAGATTTCTCGTGATCTTGGATCGCTGTCGATCTTTCAAGGACCTCCTTGACATGACGGGCGTATGCGCAGAACAAGCGAGCCGCATAACCGAAGGATTATAACTAGGGCCCAATCCTGTTCCCTGCGCGGCATTACTATCCCGGGACTTATCTTGCGAGGACTGCTTCTAAAAGCCTGTATTTCCTCGCATCGGGCGCTGTACAATCCATGGCTTTTGGGGAGATCATATCGCGTTGCTGTCAGTGCCGTTGGCGCTGCAAGACTGGTCCCAGAGCACCTCAACTGGTTGATACTCGACCAGCGCCCTAGAGCACGATCCCCGTAGACTAGATATTCCATGTCAGGCAGTGAACGGCAACACTGCCCCGGAACTCTTTTCTCTTTGTGTGCCAAAGTCCGGTTAGAAGTGATTCTAAGGTTGACATGTGGGGAACAAGGCGGGCCAAGTCATGTCCCTATAGGCCCTCAACAAATCGTGGGTCCTGCATCTCGTATACGTCGAAGAGGTGAAAGCTTGCCTACCATAACATGTGAACTGAGGTACGGACAGTATGGTGATCCTACTGAGATAGAGTGGGCGGTTACTTTACCAGTAAGGGGAAGAGTAGAAGGTGTGGCTACTATTAGATGGTCGATCATTAGCCGGATAAGTGGAGCAGTAGTATTTGCGGCGGCCTTACGTTCTGCTCTTGCACTTTCAATTACCATGCATCTTCGCCTGCTTTTACTGCCTCAACATGTATACTCAAGGCCGTGCGGCGTCGTATCCGAGTCTCTGGGTGCTGACAGCATCCCTCGCCGTATCATATGCAGTGTTTGTCGCCATCTACAGGCTCTATTTCCATCCGTTAGCCAAATTTCCGGGTCCGTTCTGGGCTCGCTTGACTGTGTTCCCGTCGTGGTGGCACACTCGTAGCGGAGACCGCCACATTTGGCTCTATCAGTTGCAGGAGAAATATGGTATGCATAACGAAGCCTGACCGTTGTAGTGAGATGACCACAAGCCTGACACTATGCAGGCACTGAATTTCGTTATCGACCTGATAGCGTTCTAATCAATACTCCAACCGCATACAAGAAGATTTTTGGTCCCGCAGGGAACGTTAGGAAAGCCGACTATTACAAAGTATGGCCGCGCAACGTCGAAACACACAATACCTGGAATGCCACGAGCGTCGAGATGCATGCGCGGAAGCGGCGAGTATTGAATTATGCCTTCTCAGAAAGCGCTTTACGATCGGCCGAAGGATTTCTCCATTCCAACATCGACAGGTGGTTAGAGTTGATTGGAAAGATGGCCAAGACCGATAGCGACTGGACACCATCCCTCAACATGTGCGACTGGATGAATTACCTCGTCTTCGATATCCTTGGTGATCTCTGTTTCGGCCGATGCTTTGATATGAAGGAGAGCGACAGTAAGCTGCGTCATATTCCTGAAATGATGGTTGGATTCTTGGAGCTGATTCATCCTGTAAGTACAATGTATTCCTACAACATCGATCCGCGCTAACTTCTGTAGATCGGATGGAGTCCGCTTGGCCCCGCTTGGATTTGGATGAAGCCTCGTGGCCTTGACTGGCTTCTATCAGTCGCATCTCCGCGCGCCGTAGTTCAGTGGCGGAACTTTGTCGACAAATGCCTAGCAGATCGAACGCAGGTACAGAAGGACCAGGAGAATAACCCCAAACCTGATCAGGAGGCCCGGAAGGATTTTTTCTACTGGCTCTTCAAAGCCGAGGACCCTGAGACTGGAAGGCCTGGTTACTCGCTGGATGAGCTCTTTGGAGAGTGCGAATTGTTGACAATTGCTGGCTCTGATACAACGTCAATCGTGCTGTCAAGTGCATACTTCTATCTCGCGCGACGACAGGATGTACAGGCTAAGCTGGCAAAGGAGATCCGCTCTACCTTCTCGAGCTACGACGAGATTAGATCGGGAAGCACGATCTACTCATGTAAATACTTGACGGCCTTCCTTGAAGAAGCTATGCGCATGACGCCTCCTGTCTCCGCGGAGCCGGCACGTAGAGTTCTGCAAGGCGGTACGAATGTAAATGGCCACT